TGATTGATATCAAAATACCAGTACTATATACTATATCTGATGTACTGCTACTGTACAATGAACTGGAACTGGTACTGTACTGATTGGAGGATGAACTACTGTAATACAATGAGTTAAACATCTCTAACGTACTGGTAACTATTGGAGAATTGGAATGCAACACTGGTACACTGGTAGATGGTATACTGGAATGCAACTCTGGTACACTGGTAGATGGTACACTGGAATGAAACTCTGGTACACTGGTAGGTGGTACACTAGAATACAACACTGGTAAACTGGTAGGTTGTACACTGGAATATAACACTGGTACACTGGTTGGTGGTACACTGAAATACAACACTGGTACACTGGTAGGTGGTATACTGGAATATAACACTGGTATACTGGTAGGTAGTATACTGGAATGCAACTCTGGTACACTGGTAGGTGGTATACTGGAATATAACACTGGTACACTGGTAGATGGTACACTGGAATACAACACTGGTAGACTGGTAGGTAGTACACTGGAATACAACACTGGTACACTGGTAGATGGTATACTGGAATACAACACTGGTACACTGGTAGGTGGTATACTGGAATACAGTAGATTGGTAGATATGGTGTGTAATGGTTCCCTAGTTTGAGACAATACAGCAACTGAAGGGACTATACTGTTGCTTGATAGGCCCCCATAGTTGCTTACTGTTGATATACTAATGGATTCTTCAGTTATAAAATAGCTAGTGATTAACTGTTGACTGGTAATAGAGGGTTGCATTGATAATAATGTAATTAGAGTGGGTGTGGCCTCCTCTGATAATGATAACGGCAAATATGAGTCAGTTGTTGAATATTCACTCAACAAGTCAGCTACTGATGAAGGAGTGGCTAGATAAAATGAATCTTCAGATTTCATTGGATAAAACACAGATGAGGTAGCAGTAGGTATCAGTAATGAACTGACATCAGTACTATATTGACCAGACGTAACAGATACCTTGTAAGAAGCATAGGCGGCTGCAGGATTTGACTACTAGTCGGGCATGGGTGTGGCACAGGAAATGGGTTGGGCGTGCAAAGTGCGCCGCAATTTTGGCCACACCCTCTTTTACACACCCTTTTTAGCACAATTTTTTGGTAGCGAAGGTTATTGTAATAAAGTAGTGGGTGGTGTAGCTCCAACACTGACTTCTGTAGTGGTAATAGTACTAGTAGTAGTATTAGTAGAGGAAGTAGAAGAATAGGGTGATGGAGAATGAGCAACAATTGACTGTACATCAATTGTAGCTGTAAAAACTGTAGCTGTATCAACCACAAGAGTAGACTGAGACTCATGATCATCAACTGATTCAGCAAGAGACTGACCTAAAGTAAGAATTATGAGATAATCTGTATTATTGACTTCTATACTGTACTTACTAGGTTCACTTCAGTTGTAAACTGTTGTTCCTTTTTAGCAGGCTTGTTCACAAAGGACATAGTGAAGCTAGTCCAGGCTTTTAGACATTGCCACGCAACTGACAAGAAAAGAACACTGAAATAGCACTAAATAATGAAATGATTATGCTTTCTAGTGTTGCTGTGGTGGCCCACTGTGATTGGCACCAAAGTCTTACCACCTCGAGCTCCTCCTTTATTTAGTCTCTCTTCATCACCTTGTTTCAGCCTGCCATTTATGCATTCATAATTATAAGGTTTTCATAAAAAATTGAAATTATAATTGCAATAACTGTTATTAACTATTAATTAACCATAGAATAACTATTAATTATGGTGATGTCACACTTCCGGTCAGAATTTTTGGTCGGGCATTGCCCCTAAATGCCCGACCCTGCAGCCGCCTATGCTCTTGAAGGACTCTTAGTGTACTAGTTAAATAGCTTCCAACTGCACTAGCTCTTATATTTTGTGCTCTGTATGTTACTAATGATTGGTTCATTAGTCTGGTACATTCCTGCCCTTGCTCAATACCTAATAAAATGGACATTGAAGGAAACAGATCAGTTGGTACGATTCATGGCCTTACAGAAAAGCCACAGAAGAGTGACAAGACGTATATACGAGAGAGAGTACTCCATCTCCAAACAGCACTAATCAAGCCAGTCTATTTCCTGTTTCCTTACGTAATATGACGTTTGATGGTTATTAGTTCTATTTTTATTATTATTTTGTTATACACAAAAATAAAAAAGAAAGATACACATGAATTAACTTAAAGGGGTAGTCATTAATTATTATTTTAAAATATTATTATAACTAAAACAAAAGAAATTGTACATACATTAACAGAGTTAAAAGTTTAGTATATATCTAGTACTGTCACTACTGTGAGTTGATGCAGATAATAAAACATCTAATTAAACATTCATTTGCACACGACACGGAATAAAAAATTAATAAAAAGAAGCACCACACACTACATCACTGTGTGTACATTTTTTGCAAGTCATCATATAAGTCAAAAGCAGTTTCCAGTGGACCACCCACAACAGTGCTCTCCTCTTCCTTAGAAACCTCATTTAACAACTCAACATCAGAGAGAAGCAATCTTGATACCAGATCTACAAATGTAGGACGACCACCAGTATCTGGGTGCCTATACAAACACAATTAAATAATACAAGTCCATCAGCACATACCAGCATTGTATCATAATCTCGTAAAGAGTCCTGGGGCAGCCAGGAGGAGGAGGAAGACGAAATCCTGAATTAATCAGATCTATGCACTATCAAAGAATATATGTGAAAGACACCCTGTGCTAATAGAGTGTATTTACTTGTTCATTGGTGTAGTTTTCAAATGGTTTATGTCCCAGACTCCATATCTCATACACCACTACACCATAACTCCATACATCACTAGCACTGGAATAACGCCTGTAGTTCAATGCCTGTCATTATTAGGTAACAAACAATACAATGGGCTATGTATTTCTTCATACCTCTGGAGCTGTCCATTTGACAGGGATCTTGCATGCATTAGCAACATAGTAATTGTCATCTTCCAGATCTCTGGACATTCCAAAGTCAGCAATCTAAAATTATAAAAAGATAAACTTAACACAGTAAGCTAATGGCTATACATTGCATAATCCTTGCTTTGCTATCAGAATATTCCTAGCAGCCAAGTCTCTGTGTACAAACCCTTTCTTAGACAAGTAATCCATACCTGAAGCAATCTGACGACAGAAACTGAGCAGTAGACCTGGTACTGTTGATGCTACGAGTTCTCCTGGTCTATAATACACAATATTAATAACATAATCTACTGATAGTACATACTGTGGTTGGAGAGTGTGAAGGTATTGTCTCATGTCTCCATGAGGTATTAACTCCAGTACTATCATCATCTGTTCTCAATATAATAAAAATAATTATTAATTATATTAATTAACCCACTGGCTCTCCAACAGTGACCATTCCATGCAACTTGACAATGTTAGGATGATGAAACTGACCCATAATGGCTGCCTCTTGAAGAAACTTGACCTTCTCATCCTCTGATGTGTTATTATTGAGTGTTTTAATGGCAACATCTACTGGACCAGTAGGAGACTCCCATACACCTTTATTAACACTACCAAACTGTCCTGAACCAAGATGATCTGTTATTCTATTGATATATGTAAATTAAGAAATGATTCAGGCATAACTACTTACACTATCTGACTATGCAGTATTTCTCTAAATTTGTAGCTTGTGAATTGTTTATAAATAAGTTCACAGTCACTACCAGGCTGCCAGTACTCTTCCGTTTCAGTGAAGAAAGCATTGTCAGTTATACCCATAGTACCAGTCCTTGATAATTCAGGCTATATTAAGGGGATTCTACATCAACATAAAAATTACAATGCTTACTTCTTTTAATGAATTGGCAAAGCTCTTAGAATGAGCCTTAAATTGAGCCTAAGACAAAAATAATTCAGTCACATCAAAAGTTAGAAGTTACGACAAACCATGAAACATTCCTCATTGATCACAATTAACATAGCTTACTATTTTTGGATGTGCTGTACTAGCCTTTAATTCAGCATATGGTTGTGCCAACGGTGTGGGCTCCATCTACAACAATATCCTGTTACATTATATATGGCATATTTTTAAGCACATGACCAGCTCATTATGGTCATTGTTATTATTAGTGATTAGGCAGCAATAAGTTAGTCATACTTACATATACAGAAGCTTCCGGCTCAAAATACTCCCCACTATTATTCATTTCATATTGATTCTCAGCTTCAGAGTGTGATTTAAAATTACCAACACTACCTGCAAAAAATTATCTAATATATTTAAACAACATCATTAAAATTACCTCCATACAATGGGTTCTCTAGGTTATCTAGTGTTGAAAACTTCTCATCTGGTATAAGTTGATCCTTACTAAATGTAGCCACATCTCTTTGTCCATTGCTCAATTCTTTCTTTTTATTCTTTCTCTTAATAAAGATGACTATGGCAATAATGATGATAGCAGTTATTGAAGGAATGAAAAGGAGTAGTATTACAACTGTTGCCACTATAGCACCAACAGAAGATCCTGAAGGAGCTTGTGTGACATCATTAGATGGATTCACTGATACTGATACAGATCCTGACACTAATACAGATCTTGACACTGATACAAATCCTGACACTGATGCAGTGCCAATAATATTTGATACAGATACAGTTCCACTGCTAATAACTGTAGTAGTAGAAATATCTATAGTGTTTACAATCCATTATATTATGGCAATGTTTATACTTACTGATTTCTGCTGCAATTAATGGATAATTATTAGCAACAGATTCCAGTGATCCTGTTATAGTTGATAATGCACCACCAGCTCTAAACCTATTAAGTGGGCCACTCTGTATCTGTTCATAAAATACTAATCGACTTGAACTTGGTGAAGGAATATAAACACCAAATATGTCTCCTTTCTGGAACTGCAGTGGAGTCTGAGGAATAAACTCATAGAGATTAGTACCAATCATTGTAATGTTATTAAATGTGATTGAACTAAATGAAACTTTATTGTAACTACTTGATTGTTGACGCCATATCTGGAACTCTGCTAATGCATTTTGATTATTGGTTTGATTCTCAGCTCCAAAGATCCATTTAGTAACTGATCCATTACACAAGAAGAACATATCAAGGTACAAATACTGTCTTTGATTTTGAAACATTTGTGATCGATGAATTCTAAGAGCATTTTCACTAATAAATGAAGCATTGATTGAATTGGCACTATTAACACAGTATCCATCTAATGATAGTAAAATAATTTAATGATACAGTGAGTGTGTGTCTTACCTGTTACTGGATATACTAATATCAACTGGTTTGTGGTGGTTGGAAGGTTGTTCAAATTAAAACTACTTTCACCGAATGTTTCCTGTCTGCTCCTGAAGCTGACCCCTGGAACATTATCAATGTAGTATAATCTAACGATACTGAGTCCTTGATCTGGTTGTGATACAGCTAACAGGTCTCCACTCATTACTGGTATAGGAGGATTGAGTGGATATTCAAACACTCCACTAGTACTGACATTAGAGGTAGAATAATAAATAGTTCTCTCAGTCACTAGGTTATAATTATTAGAGTTACCAGCACGTCTAAAGACCTGGACACTTGGAAACAGAGTATAGTTGTCAGGTCTCACATCAATACCCAATATAAGACTGGTTATAGTGGATGAACAATTGAACTGATACTCATGAAGGACTCTTAGTGTACTAGTTAAATAGTTTCCAACTGCATTAGTTCTTATATTTTGTGCTCTGTATGTTACTAATGATTGGTCCATTAGCCTCGTACATTCCTGTCCCTGCCCAATACCTAATAAAAATGGAGATTGAAAGAAAAAGATCAGTTAGCACTGACGATTTATGACCTTACAGCAAAGCCAGAGAAGACAAATGATTGACAAAGAGCCTCGGAAAGAGTCGAGCAACTCCATCTAATCCTCGATCTAATCCCACTATACTAATAAATGATAGATCTACTGTATCTAGGCTGTATCTATCGAGGTATTTATACTTTGTAGGCCCTTAACCGCTTCCTGTTTCCTGTTTTATGTGATGTTTGCAAACATTTTAAATTGAAACCACACAACAATTAAAATGAGACTACACATATTAGATACAAATGCACGCTTGCATGCATTTCTTCATAGACATTAGTTTACAGTATATAAGTATTTTGTAAGTCAGTGTATGAATCATGAGCACTCTCCAGTGATCCTCCTAATGCTGTGCCTTCCCTTTCAACAACTTCACTCAGTTTTTTTATATCAGACGAACCAAATCTTGAGACTATGTCAGCAAATGTAGGACGGCCACTTGTTTTTGGATGCCTAAAAGTAAAAATAAAGCAAAATGAATCATCTGGATGTACACATACCAGCATTGTATCATGATCTTATATACAGGCCTGGGACAACCAGGAGGAGGAGGAAGACGATATCCTGTATCTATCAACTTCACATACTAAAATTAAAAAAATTAATGAATAATATACTATACAATAATATTTGATCAATAATCCATGATAAAAATAATTTACCTCTTGATTGGAAAAATTTTCAAATGGTTTATGTCCCAGACTCCATATCTCATACATTACTACACCATAACTCCATACATCACTAGCACTGGAATAACGCTTGAATTTCAAAGCCTATTATTATTAGAGGAATAACAGTTAAATCTAGCTGCTGTTAATTTTACTTCAGGGGATGTCCATTTGACAGGAATCATCTTTGCAGTAGATACAT